GCATATTAAGCATAGGAAAGAAAATTAATTTGCTGCATTTGCGAATTTATTTCCAAGTCAAAATGCAAAGGGGGAGGAGGACTCTTGTAGGGAATTGATATTCTACATTTATAGGATATATTAAGAAGTTTGTAATGGCCTGCACACAAAAGAAAAACACATAAGAAATGGATTAATTAAAGTTTCTCTGATAAGCTTAGCTTTTGAATTTCCTCTCTTTTGATTTTAAATTTATGGCCTCAGTATGACATTACCAGAGTTCATTGCATTTTGCAAGTGGCATTCATATGTTGTTAGTTTAGTACACTGTGGGCAATGGGTTACCATTTTTGTTAAAAATTTCCAGAACCACAAAAGTATTTCTTAACTAGACTTGCAAATGAGTAATGCCTTTTTTTCAGAGGGAGAAAATAGTTAAAACATTACAGGAATTTTTGTGCCTTTTCTCCTTAACTAAGGAAAAAGTTTGCAATGAAGTTTGCTTTTTGAGACTGACATTTTGTAGTTAAGTTTTGATTTACATATGAAGTCATCATCTGACAATTCCAAACAAATGTTTTTTTGAAACATATATTTTTTTTGTATGTGTTTTTGTAGCTCAAAAAGAGTTTAACAGATTTATCTTGCTTTCTGCCATTCAAAACAGTGTAAAGTTTCATCCCAATAACATTTTTAATATCTTGAATAACTTAATAATTAAATTTAATAATTGCCAGTTCAGTCATAGATGTCAGTCAGACAAACTCTACCCACAAATCCCACAAACCATCTACACTTTTTCCAAAGGAAATTTAAATATAAAATAAAGAACAATAAAAACAATCATAAAAAATAAAATAATAGCAAAAACAAATAATAAAACAGAAAAACAACAAGCCAGAGTTAATACTGTTAATAATGTTAACACATAAAGTGAAAAGCATGAAGTAACACAATTTTCAAATATAATCTTTATGCTTCTCAAACACAGTAAGGTCTGGATTCTAATTCCTATAACATTTTTTTGACCTAACCTGACCCTGTACTTAGTTACAGGAGGGTTCAAAATTCCTTTCATTTACTCCCATCACAGATGTCCATTTCATACTAAATGTAAATTCTTAGATTTCCAGTGATTTCATTGACTCGTAAGTAAAGATCTAGGATTTTTTTAAGGCTACATAATGTTCGTTGATGAAATTTCCTATGAGAATTAAATTATGCCAAAAAGCCATTTACTTGATATTCTTTAAATACCAGGTATTCAATGAAAGTTTAGATTGTAAACTATGTTAACTGACACTAATGCAATGTGCACATAATGAACAATATAACCAACTTAAGTTAATTTTCATATAACAGATAACATCTGGGGGAAATGTATATTGGTAAGTTATGCAAAACTAATTTTCTGGAGACCACATCTGTAGATGTTATTTATTATATGTTCACTTAACAGTCCATTATTCTGTTTAGAAATCTATTCTCTTCTTTATTAGAGCTTTTAATGTACTCACCTTGGTTCAAATGGTCTGCTCATTATCAGAAAAAATATAAATGGCATTCAAATGGAACAACATGATTGTTTTTATTATATCCATTTGTGTGCAAGCATTCAAAAATAGCAAAAGAAACACATTTATTGCTTTACATTCAAAGTCATATTTAGGGGAAATTTGAAAGTCAAACAAAACCAATCATTTGGCAAAATGGAGGTATGTGTATAATCAGAAACTCCTGATTTTTAATCTCAGCATTAGGCCTCAGGCAAGTCACTTAAAGTCTTTCCCTTTGCTTCCTGACCTGAAGATTATGGGTGCTATTCTCTCATGAAGAAAGGGTGGTTGCTAAATCAGGGTACCAAATAGTAGTGGTTTTTTAATAAATGTACTTTACCTTTTTCTGTTTTTATTTTTCTAGATTTAAGAGGTAACATATTAGACATTTGAGGAAAAAAATATGAGACAATTATAGTTCTACAGGAATGTATAAAAATAGTTATAAAACTAGCTTTATTTAATTTGCTTCAACTATTCATAGGAGGCTTGAAGAAATTATAACGTTCTTTCAGAAAATCTAACTTAATAAAGCTGACCATGTCTTTCTGTTTTAAATAGATTTTATTACAGAACCAGTGATGTTGTAAAACATGAGGTTTTGTTAAAAAAAAAAACAAAGGCCTAATTGTATTTTTTTAAGAAAGTATTGCATCAGACGGTTTCATTTAAACATATTTGCTGGCTCTGTGCTCTCACCACAATTACTGATTCTAATTTTCCTTAAACTTGTTTTTTAAAAAGGCTACTTAATGGAGGGAAAAAAAATCACTGTGTTGCTGCTTTTGGGCACTATGTTTATTTCAAACTATATATTTGACAGTGTACCTTCTTATTAATGAAATGACTTCATATTTACCCTCATCTGAAATGGGGACATTTCTTTCCCAAACAGTATCTTACTGACACAGCCAAATGTTAACACTTTGTAAAAGAAAAAAACATGCTATTGTTTGGTTCATTGATAGTATGCAAATCACCCTGAAGAAAAGAAATCCTCACCCCCCAGTTTTTGTGCATGAATTAAATCAAATGAATAGGTGTATGAGGTACACTCATAAAAATCAAAGAAAAGAAAATCCAACTCTCAGTCAAAGCTTCAGGTTCCTGGGATAAACAGGAGCTCCATGCCACCTGCCAACGACCAGGACAACAGGGTAGTTGGCAGGTCATTCAGATGAGCCTTATGATGGGAGATAAAATGAGAGACTTAAGCACAAAAACCTGCTTGCATTTAAGTATACAGTCCAAGAGAAAAAAGGGCACAGGTGGGCAGATGGTAGAATATGCTACTACCAGATGGAGAGGTGATCCACTGAGAACTTCCACTAAGGCATGAGAGAAAATGAGCAGGAAGTCCTAGCCTATGTATGGAAAAGCATAGCAGCAAGGCAAATATGGCAAGTGAAACAAGGTAAAATTCTGCTTTATTAAAAGAAAATACTTTTACCTTGACAATACTTGCTTACTTTCTTAGTACCGCAGTAAATTCAGAAAATTCCAATTAATTCATTTTCTCCTCTTTTCAAAATGTCTGACTCACCACCACTTCCCCCAAATTTCTATTTCTTACTCTATGTGAAAGTCTGTACCCTAACTACCTCATCATCTTACCTTGTCTCTGGATTGCCATGTGCAGCTTATTTATTTTATGTATGTTTCATAAGACACTAGAATGTATAACTCTTCCACTTTCCTAGCTTGGGAAAATAAAGACTAATACAAGGTGTGGGAGGATAAAAAACTAGCATAATGAAAAAAAGTACAAATACTTTTGTGGAAACGTGAAAATATCCCATTTAGGAAAAAAAAAAGAAGTTGCTTATGAATGTGATAAGAGAAAAGAATTGTTCTGGTATGTTTTTTTTGATGTTCTATTTTGATTAACATTTAGTCAACTTGAGATAAACAATCTGGAATGATGTCACTAATGACTGAGATTAAGTGATTAATATTACTGATAGTTTCCAAATACGGCAACATGAGGACATATTACAGTCTACTGAAGACTGCATAGGCCAAGAAGTCAGCACCCCAGGGTGCATCTCCCAGCCCTATCATGAACTAATTATTTGACTTAAATCATTTACTCTCTTGGTTTCCAAATTGCCTGGACTACAGAGTTATGACACTTCAGTCCTTCTGTCTATTTGTACTAAGCAGCAACATCCTATAAAATAAAATTAAAATTAAAATATAAATTCAATGCAAAATACATTGGGTATGACCAAGCAATAACTTAGTCTCCATTATACTCTAAGACTTAGCCAAATAAAAAATATTAATATTTAAATGATGAAATATTATAACATGTAAGTTTAATTGAAATATTGTGGAGAAGTTAGAAAGAAATGTATGATGATTTCGGGGGTTTTCTAGGCTCCATAACATAGTAATTATTTGGTATTTATGCATTTATATAGTTTTTGTCTTCAAATTTGTAGGCTCCAGATCTGATTTGATCTGCATACAGTGGGTGGCTTCATCTCAGAGCAACAAAAAAGAAGGTCATGAGAGCTTACTATATAAACTAGAACATCAATTTATTGACTTGCAGTGAGGAATATAATAGGCACAAAAATCAGAGCACTCAAGTGGGCATGTCTTTATAGATTAATTGAAATGGGAAGTCATATTATGATCAAAATGTTCTTGTTAAACATGGAAGCAGAACATGAGGAACTAATTAAATTATTCAGATGTTTAATGCCATCAGCACCCTCATTCTCCTTTTTCTTTCCCCAAAGTCATGGTAGGATGAACACTGCTTAAGTTGACTTCTTGGACTCCTGTTTCTTCATTTCCATTGTTGAGCAGCATCCATTGGCATGCTCCTGCTACAGAATTGTTAAATGCTCACAGTGAAGTTTTGCCTTGCTTTCTGTGTTTTGGTTGATTTTGCAAATCTTTCCTCTGGTTTACTGTGTCCCGGCTGTGCACATTAACCTTTAGAGCCTTCATTGTCCTCATCACCAAGTTTTTGGTGGCCACTTCATTACTGCTCCCAAGCACAAACTCCACTCTGCTGAGAAATAGCAGTCTCCAGCAGGCTGCTAGTGAGTGTTTGAAGCACCTAACCCTCTGTGAGAACTGGAGAAGATATACAGAGGATCTAAAACATGGTGTCTCCTTACAGAGCTTGCAGGAGGAAGAAGAGGGTACTAGCACATGAAACAATTAAAGATGAAGGCAGAAAGAGAATGAGACAGTGGGAAAAGTAAAATGCTAATTATGAGATGCAGAGCATGAAAAGCAGTAGAGAAGTAAGGCAGTGGTGTCAAGAACTCAAAAGAGATAGCACTTAAGATAGGCTTGAAATATGACTATAGGTATAGGTGTAGGTATATATGTGTGTGTGTGTGAGTGTGTGTGTGTGTGTGTGTGTGTGTGTGTGTGTGAGTTGGCTGAAATTGTGGTTACTCACCAAAGCCTTTGTTATAATACAGCTCTTTTCTTCCCCTACAGCAAATGATAGAGGTTGTCAATCCTTCAGGTCGCTTTTTCCCTAATCCTTTGGAAGAAGGACTCTCATTTGATATTTACTCAACATTCGTAGAGCCGCCCCCAACCCTGGATACAGACATGGAGGTATGTTTCCTTTTGTCTCAATTCACCCCACCTCAACATTATATTCTCTAGGGGAAGGAGGAAAGGAACCAAATGCTCTTGCATTTACTTTCTCTCTGATTTTTTTCCCAGCTAAATATATTTCTTTTAGTATTGATTCACAGGGGGCCAGCTGGGGTGGGTCATCAATTTTAATCCCTTCCACTCCATCCTCCTCAATCTCCACTTTCTCAAAAGTAAGCATTTCCTAACACCATGACATAATGTCATGACACTCATGTATAATGAAAATGCCCGATAATGTCAAATAAAAAATCTCCTTCCAGATTGACATCATTCCTAGTAGAAAAGTACCCAAGAGAAGTTTGAAGTTACATATAAATCACTAAATGCCCCAGAAATCACTTCTGTTGTTTATTTTCAATATCATAGGGGCTCAATCAAGAACAAGGACCAGAGGAATCCCACCCAGAAGCCAACTCTTCAGACACGGATCCTTTAGTTGGTTTTACCATTGAAGATATAAAGTCAGTGCTGGGTCAAGTCACAAATGACATTTTAATCAGCATTCAGGTACTTAGCCTTGGCAGCATACTCACTTACTTCCTTACTGGTTAATTAGCCAACCTTAACCTTAATGTCTGAAATACTGTCCATACTCTGCTAGCAAGAGTGATGCTTATGATGGAGGAATTCACTTTAACATGTCCACATAATTCTCATCTGAGACTCAATAGATCTCAAAGTAGATTCACCAACAGCATGTAGTGTGGTTTGTGTTGCCAGTTTTCAAAATCATTTGGCATGAAAACCAAAAAAAGTAACTGGTAAAGACTTCATGCCTTTTCACACTGTAGACATTGCTCATGCAAGAGTAATCAGAGTACATTCCTAAATAGTAAACACGGATCGTCAAACCGTAATGCTTTGCTAAGTTTTCACACCAGGTTTCTAAAGAGCAGCTTTGAAGTCTTTGAACTCCATGTCAGTTTGTTCCTTTGCACGTATCACTAATAGCTGAGCAGTTTACACCAATGGCTGCATGAAAATGGCGAGGGCAGCAGCCATCTCAGGAGCAACTGCCAAGGATGTACCAGTCAGCCTATTTTTATGCTTCATTTTGTTTTCTGTCCAAAAAAAAAACATTTCTACCTTACTACAAAGACTTGCATCATTTCTCAAGCAAAATGGCTACATGAACTGCATATTTTGACAAGCTTTATAATTTCTTGTGGAAATGACTGTGAATCAATAGAACAATATACTCCATGTTTAAAATATTAATGCATCTCAGGGAAAGATTTAGTTATATTTACATAAGACTATATATAAAAAGCACAATATATTAACAACTAATTTAGAAAGAACCAAAGATGAGCTTGGCATAAGCATGCCTTGTTACTTGTTTAATCATCAAATGTTAATACACTGTTTACATGAACATTTAATGATTTGATACCAACAGAATCAGCCAAAGTTCTTAGCTTAATAAGGGTATTTAATGTTTACCAGGAATAGTGGAAGAACAGGTTTTACACAAAGCTTTATTGTTAACACTCCCGTGAATGTAATAACTGATTACTGTGTGGAAGGGCAGAGTGGAGTTGAATTAAACTGAGTTCAGAACATGTCTCCTTCTTAGATTTGATAACATTTCATCTAAATATACTTTATGTGTAATCATGGCCCAGGGCTCCTTTGCAATCCCTGTGGCTCTGAAATTACCGCTGAGGAACTACCAGACAGTAATGGAATTGTGTGCAGGTCCCAAAAATTGAAAACATCTTTACCAAGGCCATGTTCCTTATAGTGAGCAGTGTGTTTTTAACTATTCATTGAAATATTTTTAAAAATATATAGAGTGTGTAGCATTTATACCAGTATTCTATAACAGAAAGAATATGATTGCTGTATGTGTGTGTCATTGTCCTCTTGGCCCGAGGCCGTCCTTGCTAGGCCTGGAAACTCATTAGCTGGCTCATCTAAATATAAGTAGGCAGAGAAAGAACTTGTACCAGAGGTGGGGGATGCAGGTCTCTTAGGTGCCACAATCACTTGCATTTTAAATGGATTCATGGACATTAGCCTGGATCAAATTACTGCCAATTACTTCAATAAAATGGTTTGATCATGTGGACTTACACACCGTCCCAAGATAGCAAACCCCTTTAAGTATTTTCTCTCGGTAATCCTACTGAACTCCATGTGAAAGCCAGGCACTTCCCATATAAATAAAATGAAAAATGGGAGATGGAGAGATTAAATCATTTATCCAGAGTTTCCAGGGTCCGAAACTGATGAAAGTCCCTGAATGGGAGCTGTGAACTGGGTTCTAGTTCTAATTCCAGTGTTATCCACAAAAACCACACAACCTCTAATATCATGACCAGACTACTTTGGATTTTAATACTCCTGTGGTGTGGCACTTTTTCAGTGTTTACCCTTGTGTTTTGGTCACATTCCAAGATGGGCAATTACTCTCTGCTTTCCTAAATTTCTCCCCCTGTTTTAAATGGGTAAGTTATTTTCCACTTCTAAAACCTGCCTTCCAATGTTCCTAGCTCTTAAAACCACAGCATCGCTATTCAAAGGTAGTCACATGTCAGTGGTCAAATTGTACGAGCTTTCTGAATACACTGACCTGCTGGAAGAACATTTAATGAATGATTATTTGTTAGATGTTTTAAATTTTCCAAGTTTTTCCTCCTTCATTTAGAAGTCATATTGTTACCGCAGTTTTAGAGGAAAAAGCGGCAGAGAATTTATGTTTTAAGTACAAGTTTTTTCAGAGCTCATTTTCCAGTGTGGTTTCAGGCATATTTCACTTTCTGTAATTCAGAAATTTCTCAAAATGTAGTGTGAATTCTTCACTTTTTATATTAATCCACTTACTTTCCCACTGATTCACTTTACAGTTTTAGAGATTTATTAAGACTGAAGTTATCTTGGCCTTGAGATGTTAATTAAAATTATACTGAATAGAGCAAACATTTTAAGCTTATATAGTTTAGGTACTTTAATTTTAAAGATACATTCAAAATGAAATTATTTTGGCCCTGAGTTGTATAATGAAAATTATACCCAATGGAGCAAACTTTAATATAGTTAAAGAATTACATTTCAGAGAAATATGAATGGTAACACTAAATTCTGGCATTGAATGTTGGCTATTGGCCCTGTCTAAGCAATAGGGTAAAATAATGTAAAAACCTTGAGGGAAGTTTGCCATCTTGGGATCATAAGTATTTTTAGGTCAACCTGAATTCCCAGATTAGAAAAGCTGAGTGGAAGATCTCCTCAAGGTAGTGGTCAGTGAAAGGCTATTGAGCTCAGATCATGGGTTTTCCATTCTTCCCTAAAAGAAATAGAAGAATTTCCTATCCTGTGGTTGTGGGACAGCTTGTCCGTTCATCACTGTTCGGAGGAATAACAAGGAGACGTGGTGGACCGGTGACAGCCTGTTCGTGACCAGACAAGGAGTCTTTTCACGCAGACCCTTTTGGATGTGCCTGGAAGGAAGTACCGATCAGACAGTCTAGGGACCTGAAATGTAGCTCCCCGCTGTTGGCACAGTGCTCTATTAGGTGACACCTTACCTTCAGGAAGCTTTTTCCCAAAGCCCACAACTTGTGTTAATGAGTTTTGTTTTGGTGAAATACCAGAAAAAGTCTCCAGGTTAATATGAAATCACTAGTGAGTCATGATAGTTAACATAAGCTGGTAGATGATAGCACATCTCTTCTTAGTTGAAGAGAAATGGGATTATTAGTGGACAGAGGACACACTAATAGAAAATGAGAAGAGTTAATTGTTTAGTTAGAGGAGTGCTTCCCAATCCTTTGGAATTGGGACAAGATTCTCTTCAAACCATTTCAGTCCCTATATCATCTAATATGTTGCATGCCTTAAAAACATATATTTAAAATATTTCATGGTGTCATAGCAGTGAAATATAACATTGGTAAATACATCATAAAATTAGAAGTTGGAATTATGAATTTAAAAGCTAGTGTGTAATGTTAACATACTTAATTTTCAACTAAATTTTTCAGATAAAAATTAACACCCAAGGTGGCTAAGTGACCTGCCCAAAGCTACATAGCTCACCTAATCCCTCGGTCTCCCCATTCCTGCCGAGTGTTCCTTTCTGCTCTGCCCACATCATCCTGAGGGCATAAGTGGTTCCTAAAAGATAACAGACTTCCTCTGTAACCTAGACGCCCATGTTCACACCTCCTTGCCTCTCCCACCAATCACCAAGAAATGAAAAAGTGAGAAACCAGAGGCCAGAGCTTGATCTAGGGCTTGATGAAATGAACCAAAAAACACTGATACTCGCATGAGAATCCAGAATTGTAGACACCAATGAGATCTTTTTAGAAATATCAGTTCTTACTGTGAAGACAGAACAGAATCTCATCAGATAAGGCAACCAGGGTGTACATTTCAAAACTATCTATTATAGTTACATCCATAAGTAAATTAAAAAGAATGCAAAATTATACCTAGACCAAAACTAGCATCTGATTTCTTAAATTTCTTCTACATCAATTAAGGAAAGAGAAATTTCTCAATATATAGTTACCCTGAAGACCTCAAATTATATTGTAGACATAAACTTCAGATTACTTATTAATACTTCTCTGTGTAAACTACCATATACTCCTGAACATTGTCAGATCACCTAAATAAAAACATCAATTTCACCATGTTGCTCACCACTGGTTTCTCTATTCATAATTTTATTATCTATCATGAAAAGGAAAGACACATTTCCAGGGCTACTAATGATCAGGTCATGTGAAAGTATTTCTGGAATTGTGCAAGTAGCATTGTTAGTCCACAGAATATCACTGCCAGAGGCTAAATGCTGTCACAGCCACTACAAACACTAAAACCTATCAGCAATCACTTTTTCTACCAAAACTGTACCATAAAGTGGCATAATTCCAAGAGCTACAATGTCTGATGGATTTTCATACTTATGAGAATTGTTCTAATTGTGAGATTATTTGTGTTGTTATTTCACAACAGAAACTCTCTCGGATCCCACTTGGAATGTATTACACAGGAGACAAAAACATCCATTGCACAGGGGTGGGGGGCCCAACAGCACTGCAGTAACTGAGCCCAGAGCAGTTACTCTGATTCGGTGATTATTGGTAAAGTCTGTCTGAGAATACAGATAAATTATCCTATCTCCCAACACAAGGCTATGTGAAAAATGGCTGTCCAAATACCACTTCCTGTCCATAGCAGACATGCTATACATTGGGAATGTGCAGAGAAACATGATAAACTGTTATCACATCACTACAGGCTGGAACACGGCTGTGTCTGCAAAACAGGAAGGTGTGTGAGGGATAATGTCTGTCTTAAGGCACTATAGTGTGTCAAAACCACAAAGACAATGTGCCGCAAAAGATAGCTCCATCATAACCACTTTTATGATTGTCTTCACAGACCGAGATAAACGAAAAGCTCCAAATACAGGAAGAGGCCTTTAATGCACGAATAGAAAAACTGAAAAAGGCCTGAGGACTCCGTACAAGGAGAGTGATGCTAAACTTCACAGAAACAAACAAAACCAGAGGAAGAATAGACTCTCTGAGAGGGTCATATTGTCTTCATTTAGTTGGGAAAGGAAAACCAAACTCCATTTTTTAGTCTTTTAAGTAATTTAAATAGTATTGGCCCCAATTTTACTAACTCCTCTCCTATAACAGCTTCTGAATTTATTGAACTGTGTGTGGTAAGGACATTTTGTATACAAGAGTTTGGAGAATGATATATAAAAATACAAGTACTTTTATGATACTCCTTTGACATTTTGACTAATATATGCTATTCATCTTCAAGGATAATGCACCCAGCTTCCTTAAATAAAGAAAAATATAGCAATTTTATCCATATTGACCCAAATGAACTGCCACATAACAGGAGCCCTGTGAACAGATAACCACTATCATCCTGGTAAGGATAAAACTTGCTAAACAATGGCAATTCAAATATATATGCTATGCTTTTTTTCTTCAAATCATTTGGTTCTCTTATTTAAACATTGTTTCAGTGTGAAACCAATTTTCTGAAATTATATAATGCAGTCTGAAGCACTTTAATTTATTCTGTACTGTATTTGTTATTTCTAATCTTGTTACTCTCCCAGGAGAATTCATGACCTATATAAAGAGAAGCAATGTATAAATGGTTATTAAAGACCAACCTATATATAGACTGTAAAAATCTTAAATACAAATCAAACTCACAGAGCTCTTAAAATTAACCATTATATTGCAGTGGGAATGATTGAGAACATCTCAAGCCTTTCAACACCTTTATTAAAATATAAAAGAAAAATATCCATTTGCCAAGTGATTGTCCCTAGACAAGTTAAATTAATTGCTGCATAGAACCTTTCCAAATTTTTTAGACTTCAGAGTATTCTAAAATAGAGAGCATTGCTAGTTCTCTATTCTAGAACACTAGGAGGGGGCTAGTTCCTTCAAGAAAATTCCAGTTTACACTGGAACCAGATGTCCTTGCATCTGAGTGACACTTGGTAGAATATGTTCTGTCTGTGCTCTAACCTTGGGCTATAACCTTACTTTCTCCATCAGTATCAAAGGTATTGCCCAAAATATATTAATTTGAGATATAGACAGATCTGACAGCATTTGGCAATTTTCTAACTACACTGATCAGCAAAGTAAGAGTAGTCCTTAAGATGAAGCCATGATTATTATAAATGCAGCTTCAAGTCTGGAAGGCCTGGAGATGAGATTCGTTTCTTCCTTGAGCTGTCCTGCCTAATTTAAAATGTTGTTGGTCACAGGAGATCACTAGGAAGGCTCCAAGTCTTGATCCATCAAGCTGTCTTTTCTCTAAAGAAAACAGGTGAAACTACAGTAAGCACAAGCAGTGAACAAAGTTACTTGTAGAAACCACCAAATACTTGAAACACAATCAGTGGCACAAATGGACCTGCATTGCTAATAAAGAGTGCTTATTTCGAGCAAGAGTACCAGGAGTCTAAAACTAAATTAAAAAATGGCAGTAGGATCCCTAAAAACCTCAGAGATACTGTGCTATAAGCACGCCTAAAGCATGCCTTTGGGCACTCCCAGGATCTGATACTGGCTTCATCATTGGCTAGTGTGTAACTTTGGACAAGCTACTCAATCTCTATTTGCTCATCTGTTAAATGGGGGTAATACTTATTTTTGAGGTACTTGAGAGGATTCAGTAAATTCATGTTAAAGAGCATTTGTTGTAAGGTGTGGTTCCTGTTTATCACTTAAGATACCCAAAAAGTCACCGTCTGTCCCTGATACCCATTGCCCAGTTATTTTATCAGCCTCTTTGCCAGATTCCCAGCCCTCTCTGATTCTCCACTGGCACCTGTGCCCTTCGAAGATAACCCATCCAGGGATCTCTGTGGAAGCTTAATTTTAATATCTAATAATAATAGGATAAAGAGTAGTTGCGCTAATGGTAACTGTACATTTTAATTCATAGTCTCTGCTCTTTTAAATGAATTTTGAATTGATAAAAGATTATATGTACTTGGTTTAAAAATAAACAAGGTGTAGACAATGAAATATAAATTTCACCCAAATTTAGAATCCCCATTCGGCAACCACAGCTTCCAGCAAGTCTTTAGAAAAGTTATTTTTTACCCATTTAAACAGTTGGTTGTGTGTATAGAATGGTTCTTTTTAATTTTTTTCACATAATTTACATTCTTTACATTGCTTTTTTCATCAAATAAATCTTGGAGATAGTTCTCTATCAGCACATTTTAATGACCATATAGTATTTAATTTTATCAATTTCATAACTAGTCCTATTGATGAGCTTTTTATTGTTTCTGGTACTTTGCTATCACAATACTACATTGACATTTTTGTGAACATGTATGATTGTACTGTAGGATGAATCCCTAGAAGAGAAATTTCTAGGTCAAATTTTATATGCATTTCCAATTTTGATAGACATTGTCAAAGTGCCTTCCAAAGATATTTCACCAACAGTGTATGAAAATATTTCTTTCTCTACATTGTTACTAGCTACATGCAACAGTGAACTTTTTATTTTTGGTATTCTGATAGGTGGAAAAATAATGTCATACTATTGTTTTAATTTGCTTTTATTCTACTCCACAAGATTGAACACCTTCAATATGTTTACAAGCAAATTTGATAGGTGGAAAAATAATGTCATACTATTGTTTTAATTTGCTTTTATTCTACTCCACAAGATTGAACACCTTCAATATGTTTACAAGCAAATTGTGTGTGTGTGTGTGTGTGTGTGTGTGTGTGTGTGTGTGTGTGTGTGTTTCATCCTCCTAATAACCCTAACAGATAGACAGGTTGTTAGACTCAAGTTATAGTTATGGAACCTAAAACTTAAAGATATTATTAACTTGAACCAGTAATTCAACACATTAATAATTGATAGATAAGAGCTTCCAACTGAAGTCTGACCCACTTTACAGATGAGGAAACTGGAACACAGAGAAATTTTATATAATTTTCCCATGATCACACAGCCAGTGAGTGATAGACCCAGGTTTTGAACTTGGGCCTGTATGATTACCAAACCCACATAATTAACCTTCATCTAGCTATCTCTGTAAATATGAAACAAAGTGAAAACTGACCTTTCTTTTTTTTTATTAGTTATAATAAGAGAAAAAACTTGTTTTATGTTTTTAGTGTATTAAGTATTTAGAAAATTTATTCTAGAACAGAATGTATAACCTATCTCCATTCATTCACTCATTTATACACTATATATTCATTGAGTACCTCCTATATGCCAGGGCACTTAATAGTGAGACAGACAGGGTCTCTGTCCTAATCTAATGAGGGAAGACAGCTTATACTAACTGTGGTAGAGACAAACTTCAGGGAACTATGAGAGCATTGAACATAGGAGCTTTATCTAGTTTGGGAGGCCAGAGAGGTATGAGGTTTTGACATTAGGCTGGGATCTGAGGGATAGAGAGAATTTAACTAGACAGAAGGAGATGAAGGGAGATGGATTTCAGGCAGAGGGAGAAGCACATGCAAAGTCCCTGGGACACAGGTGAGGTTAAACAATTGGCCACAGCCAGAGCTCTGCCTGGCCCCATAGACCACATTACGGAATTTTATTTTTAATCTAAAAGCAAAGGAACTTGTTGATAAGTCTTAAGTAGCAATTGCCATCAGATTAGTATTTTTAAAAAGGTCATCTCCCTGGTGCCAGGACTTCTATCCATGGAGACAAGGAAAAGAGAGTATTCTCATAAAAGGATTCCTACTGCTAATGATGCCACAGCTCCACTTCTTAGCAATTTCTAAGAGTGGGAGAAATTTTTTAAATGTTTGGCTTTTTTAAAGTCACAAGGGCCACCTACTCTAAGCAGTCTTTGGCACAAAGGCAGCCCTCTGAAGAGCCAATTAAAAAATACCAGCCTATCACTTAGACAAGCAGTAACCTTTTGCTTATCACCCAGAGTAAGATATCTTTCTTCCATTTGCAGGAATAATTTGGAGTGCTTTTTCCTCACCCCCATGATAAATTTTGTGGAGAAAATGCATTTATTATGTTATGAACATACCACAATTTCAGGTATTTGCAGGCACTGTTGCACCTAAATATAGCTGTGGAGTCATTTTTCCAAAATCTGAATATAAAACCCCTATTTCTATCCTCCATTTGATTGGAACCATTCAACCATCCTGGTAGATAATAAGTTTGCATGTTATTAGATTGCATTTCATTATGCTTCAGTTCCCCTAGAGAATAAACGTGCTCTTTTTCCCAACAATTGTAGAAGAAAAGTACTTTCGACGTCTCAAATTTCAGAGAATCTTAGGAAGATGCCCCTCTTCTAGATATCAAAGTCTTCTTTTTTTCTGGACATTGATTTGTTAAATGAGAAGTCAGGACCCATTTGTGGCAACCAAAATACCTATTAATTTAAGTTTCCTGAACAAAAAGGAGTCTAGGTAAAAATAATAACCATCTCGAAATTCAGAACCCATAACAAAAGAGAGAATACTAAAAATCTCTTTTGCTTTAAGGATCCCTTCCTTTTTCATGGAAGCACCAGCAGTGAAGATTGGCTTATATATTTTTTTTGTCAGAGCTAACAAAGATATTGTGTTACTTAATTTTTAGCTTCAGAGAACATTCAGTACAGATATCTCCAATGGTTATTTTGATGTTTGTTTCTTCTTTTTAATCTAGCCTGTAGTTTATTCAGGGCACTTTCTAGATACTAGGGTGAAATATGATGGATAAGGTCCTTGACTTCATGGAGCTTATGGAATTGATAAGGATTATAATCTCAAGGTAGATGATAAAGTGAAAAAGTAGGGTGATCTTAGAATAAACGATGCCACTGATTAGTACAAAGCCATGGGATGGAAGATTCTGGGATGTGTAAGAGCTACTTTACCTGTGGTGTTCCAAGAACTCTTGGAAGGGATGACTTTCAAGCTGAGCCCAGAATAGGAGAAGGAACCAGCCATGGTCTGCACCAGAGAACATTTGTTCCAGGCAGTGAGGATAGCAAGTAAAGTGACATTGCCAGGTTGAATCTCTGATCCCTCAAAGCAGCTCTCGGGAGAAAGGGGCACATGCAGGGTCTCACTCCTGGGAAGTAACCAGGCTGCTTTGCAACCTTAGACCCTTGCATTCCTAATCTAGTATTTTCCACTGCATCACATTGGTGTGGTCACATTGCCCTATTTTTTTTTTAATGCAGAATTACAGCCACCAAATGTGTATCAGGATAACCAACCCAAATAAGCCCACCTACCTAAAAGAATCTTGATCCAATGATCCCTTGCAGAAGACTCCACATAAGTTATGGAGATACTCCACTCCAAAAGAGGATGAGCAAAACTCACACTCATTATGTGTGGACTGTGCATAGTGACTTCTTTCCGAAGAATACAGTATGGAAAAGTGGGGAGAAAATACCTCTACAGTTTAGAAATCTGACAAATGCTTCTGCCATATGAGCAAGATCAACATCAGTAGTCATAAATCATGTTGATGGTTTGTACGTTTGATAGGAGATGATAAAATCAATACTTTATCTCTGTGGCTTCCTCCCCAAAACTCATAATCCCAGTCTAATCATGAGAAACTATCAGACAAATTCCAATAGATGTACAATACACCTGATCAGTACTTCTCAAAACAGTCAGAATCATCAGAAACAAGGAAAATATGAGAAAATGTCACAGCTGAAAGGAACTTAAGGAAACAAGACAACTAATGTAATGTGGATGTGATTCTGGAACAGAGAAAAGAAATCTAAAGAAATACAAATAAATGAACTTCATTTAATAAAAATGTATCAGTATTTATTCATTAATTACTCCAAGTGTACCATGCTAATGTAAGATTAGTATCAATAGTAATAATTTGTAATAATAGGGGAAACTGTGGGGGGACAGTATATGAGAAATCTTTGTAATTGATTTTTCTGTAATCTAAAACTTCTAAAAAATAGTCTATTAATATAAAAGAATCTTGGTCAAAACAAAACAAAATTAGTTAGAAGGAAAAATGGCCCCAGTTAGATTTTATCTTTAATGAAATGACAACCCCCTTCTAAATGACATATGAAAAATCAGATATGGCCATCTTGCAAACGAGAGAGGAAAAGAAATGCTCATAAAGAAGGAGAAAGTGATAAACAAATCCCATTGTAAAGAGAAAATTGCAAAGTTCTTTAGTCCTGGGCCTCTCCTTACTTTCTCAGTTCCATGGTAAAATTTGAAACTTTCTAAAAACATTCATGGCTCATAAAAACCGGGAATGGATTGACTCCTTTTAAGTACTTGACTCTACAATATAACATGTTAATGTGGCCTATCTGATAAACCTAAATAAAAAAATTAGCCATATAGAATGGTCCTAGTTTCTGAAGCTAGCAAGTCTTCTCTGGATCCTACCAAGACCTCTCTAAATTAGCATTCCTTGTCTTATAAACATGGAAAGCACTGTTTTTAAAGAGATATAGATAGATGATAGATAGAGAGATAAATAGGTAGATATGTGATAGCCAGCAACTTGAAATCAAGACCTTGTTAATGATCACCTTCCATCCTATCACCAAAAAAGGATTAAGATAGCTTGGGTATTAATTTTTTTTATTGAATATCAATCTCAAAATCAAAAAGAGAAAAAAAAATAGCCCCTGTTTTTATACTGGAGAAATGTTATATTAATGCATTGTCAATACATTGCCTGACTCT